CTCGCCTCGAGACTTGAGGAGGGACGCAACGTCTTCGGCAGCCGATCTGAGCTGGGGCGGAGGGAACTCTGCGGATGACATGGTGCTGCGGTGGGTGATATCGGTGCCGTGGAGTCTGGATGCCACAAGGGGGCTGCAAAAGAGACGCTGCTGCGAGATCTGGGACAATAGGAGTCTACGAGAACAGACCAAATACATCAACGATGATGGATGATGACCTTGACAGATTCAAGTTGGTTATGTTTGGAGTCGGGTTTATCAATCATCAAATGCGGGGATTCTTGCTTCTGTGATTGCAGCCTCGGAAGCAGCGAAAACAAAGATATCCGGGCAGACATACCAGGTTCTATCTTCCCCAGCTACGACGACGACGATGATGTTCCTCGATCCCAAGATGATACACCTCTGGGAGCTGTGGGATCCATCAACTTGTTCACATTGTGATCGCCAGCCATTGAGCTTTGGTATACGAGGTACACTTGAATAGTGTAACTGGTCCATCACTTTCTCACAAGACCTTGTCAGATTCAACGCCGCTCACAGGCTGGTTGCTCAGTGCCCAACCTCTGTCTTCTTCCTCTGCTCGATACCCTTCTGGCCTCCTGCCTGTGTCTTTCAAGTTCTTAATCCTACTTACCGTCCTTCTTTTGGAAGACTGCGTTGAAGAGACCGCAATCCCCTGTGTGCCCATTTGTCCTCTATCCGAATGCTCTTCGAACCCGACTGCCTTCCCCTGACTCTTCTTTTCGAACCATACTATCTCAGCGAAGCCCGATGCCAGCAGTGACTTGCCAACTGTACAAGTCTTGTCCTCTTTGAAAAGAACAGCAGATATCGAGTCCTACACTAGTCTCCTCGTTTGCCCAAACCCGACCGAGATTTCCCTCCTTGTGGTCCCTCCCCCTGGGTTGATTCTCTCCTGTCCCAGAGCGCAGTTTACCCCATAGGCTACGCACACACCACGTTCTTTTGCGTCGATGTTTTCCTTTTCATCCAACATCTCCCGAATCTTGGGTACATGGGCTCCTCTTGAGAGCTGGAATGAACCGTCTTGCTTCAAGATCACGAGTGCGAGAGAAAGCATTCCCCTGCATCAACCGAAGACAATCTGTGATCTTTGGATAGCAGTCCGCACACTTCCCGTTCCGTCATGCCAATAACCAATGCCCTGAAAGGACTATCAAGTTGACTTTAGATGTTTATAGGACAAACATTCGGCGAATATTGGTGGCGAAGTTCACGAGACTGACCTAATTTGACCGTTACATTGTTGCAGTCTCAACTGACCAAAAAGTACCTTTCCGAACCTGCTCACTTACCAATACTTCTTTTCAAAGTCCTTAGGTATGTTTGCCTACGAAGAGGAGACGATAGGGAGCCAGAGTCATGTCAAAGAGGCGACTCTGTGACGGCAACAGCTGGTCTACGCCCTCGCCCTCGAGCGATCCTACCAATTCTGCACTGTCATTTGCATGAACAAACACTTGAAGAACGGTTGTGCCCATCCCCGGATCCGTCGGAGAGGCTACGAGTCACGATGAAAGGCCTGGATTGAAGGGGCTGTCACCTCCAATGCTGAGGCAACACGACCAGCAATGAAGCTGAACCTTTTTCAACACGCCATCTTGTCTCATTCCTCTCTATCTTGGGAGCACAATCATCAACTTTTTCTAATTTGTCGATTTGGAACTTCTCCCTGCACGAAGAATCCTGAATGTACTCTTTCCTAGGTAACGACGCAACCAATACCATCTTCTACAGGCTGTTAACTAACTTCACCTCAGATTCCGTAACTATGTTAGTCCTGTTGAGATACATCACAGGCACTTCACTTGAGACTTCTCGACGATTGCCATGTTGCTGCACCCCTCGACTCTGTTACCTCACTCGGCAAGATTACTGGGACGCCAAAGCTCACTTATATGGAAAAGGAGGAAACATATTGGGGAATACATACCGGGGTTATCACATTTTGATATACTATCAACACCTCTATCCAGAAAAGAGAACTGGGAAGTTTTACAGGATAACGACCTTGCGAGAAAATATGGCCAAAGACCAAGCTACATAAAGCACTCTGGACAGGCCACTCAACGACGAGACACATAGTCGATATTCGCTCAGCTTGAGATATGTACGTGGAGGTCGAGGCAGCCAAAGAGACAAAGAGACTACACAACACAAGACAGAAGGACCTGGAGTCGTTCGAAACTAGACATTCTCGGAAGGCAACAGGTTTGGGTGCTAAGATATTTATCCATTAACGCAAACTACACCCGCACAGATGGTGGACGTCCGTCGGTTTTCGGGGCGACTTTGCTGCCGCGCTCTAATACACAAGCCAGTTAACATAGTTTTTTGGAAGGAACGGTGAAGCATCGACGACATGGCTGATCAGTTGACCCGGAACGATGTGGGGAGGTCTGGCTGGAAGTGTTCGATATACATAACTTCAAAGAATATGCTGGGGCTTTATTGGGAGTTACATACGTGATAGATACCCGTGGGACGCGGCTATTTTCTGCTAACATGAAATGTTTTATGCTCTGAACTACATTCTACTGTCTGACTGGACTGAATTGATAAAGTCGTCCTAAGCTCCTAGTATAGAAAATCTTTCGAGAAGCGAGTGGCTAAGCTACGCACCTGTACAACGACATGTGACAAGGTCTTAGTCGCTTCCGTGTCGGGACAATAAGATGTATTCGTTGCTCAATGGTTCTGCAGTCCTCAAGAACTATCTTTGTCTCTTGATGTCTCTTAATATTCGAGGAAGAGCGAAACAGAAGCTGACTGTCTCTCTTGGTTTCAGTCGAGATTCATTCCCATCTAGCCCTTGACCTCGATACGCTGCTCGGCAGTCTTCCCCTGAAGCTCGATCCAGCGGTCGTTGGCGGCTTCCTCGTCATCGTCGTCCAGACCACGCTCGGCCTTCTTCATGCCGGCGACAAAGGCGCTCTTGGAGAAGAGGAAGTCGACCTGCTCGAGGGTCTTGCCGCCGGTCTCGGGGCACAGGAAGAAGACGAAGACGACGGCCACGAGATTGCCGCTGAGGACCCACAGCCAGAACTTCCAGCCCACGTTGGTCAGGCCGATGGGACCTGCGAAGACGGTGATGAAGGTCATCAGCCATTCGCCAAAGCCCGTGAACGCGCCGCCGATGTGTCGGTACTCGAGCGGCGCGATCTCAGAGCAGTACAGCCACACGCAGCCCTGCCAGGCATACCCAAACACAAACAGGAAGGCGAAGATGATGCCGATCCCCGCCCACTGAACGGAATGCGTCGCCGGCACGGCTTGGAGGACGGTGAAGATGAGCATCAACACGGACATGACACAGGCTCCGTAGAGAAGGACCGATCGACGTCCGACTTTCTCGATGGTGAAGTAGAGCGGGACGCAGCCTAGGGCAAAGCAGATATTGAGAATCCCTGCGAGCAGGCTGACCAGGGAAGGGGCTGCACCGACTCGGCTGAGGATGACGGAGCCTGTTTTTGCACCATGGTTAGCCTAGGAACACACGATGTGAAGGGTGGACGGGACAGTACTCCAATACGCGAGCAATGAAGAGCCCATCCACTCTCTGATCATGGGAAGCCAAAAGCAGATGCAGAGCCGTCGGATGATCTTCATGGGCGTGCGGTCGATGATGCCACTAGTGGTGAATGCCTTCCAGTGTAAACTAGACTTTGCCTCCTCTTCTGCTTCAATGGCAACGAGAATCTCGCGCTTGATCCTCTGGACTTGTTCCGAGTCGATGGGTGCGTCATTTAGGCGTTCTAGGGCATCGTCGCCTTCGGCGTGTCGGTTCTTCGCATAGTAGTATCGCGGTGTGTCCGGGAGGAAGAGCATGCAGATGCCTGCAACCAGTGCAAAAATACATTGAAAAGCAATGGGCACTCTCCAGCTCCATTGGCCGTCGGACTTGATGCAGCCGTAATCTATCCAGTACGCCAGCGGGACACCGCTAATAAGCACTGCAGGACGCCATTAGCATAAGATGTACGATCTTTGTCAACAATCCCGGCAGAAGATACGCGTCGGTTCTCGAATGGTCTTGACTCACTTATGGCATTGAACGCATTGGCTGGGCCACGGTCCCCGATTTCGACACCCGTCTCCGCTAAGTACGTAGGCACAGCGCTGGAGATGCAGCCGATAGCAAAGCCAGTGATGATCCGACCAACAGTGAGTTGTGCGACAGAGTTGGCCGTCGCTTGGATGATTGAGCCGACAACGGCGGCGGCGTTGCCCAAAAGAATAGTCCCTCGCCGGCCAATCTTGAAGGCAAAGGTGGCCACGATCAAACAGGTGATACATGCCGACAACGAGTAGGAGCTGGAGATCCACGGTATGACCCATTCTCCAGTCGGATTCCCAATCGCGTCCAGGAATGGCTTGTGTAAAACGACGCCACCGAGCACGCCAGCATCGTACCCATACATCATGAAGGAAGTCCCGCAGATGAACTTCATCAGCCAGTAGAGGCTTCGACCTCGGAGATTGATAAGGACCCCCATCTTCGCAGGTCAAAGACCATATAAGAACAAGGTGATTTGTAGGAGAGAGCAGATGACTTTTCCAGTATAAGATTGACGAGTGTCGTCTTCCGTACTCGAATTTAGCGCTGCTGAAATTGCTGACTTTGGGAGTATTATTATACCCCAAAGAAAAGGTAGTGTCAATCCAGCAGAGTCAATAAGGTCCACAAGGACAAATGCGCATCTCCGCAGTGCGATGGAATAGTACCGACATGGGCATTCACCTTCAATAGACTTCTTGTACGCAACATCTGGGTAGCCAGCAAGTGGATATGATTGGGCACGAGACATTGCGCCGGGTTGGAGAAAGGGCCCTGCTCTGATTGTCAGTGTGGATAGTGTCAGAATGTCTGGCAGTGGAGCGACTAAATGGAAAATGCGTAGATAGTCAATTGATCACAGTATACAAACCTGCTGACATGCGGAGCCTCATCCGTTTGGAGTAGCTGGTGGACGAGGCTAACGGGCGTAGCGGGCCGAGCGCGGCTTCATGCTCGTCTGGCGCATGAGCTGTCCTACCAGCCAGTCACTGTTGCGTTCGAGGGAGCGGTTCGACGGTGCAGGTACTGACAAGCGAATTGGCATCATGGACAGATCATAGAAGGTAAACATTCTCGCTTCGCAGTACGCAAAGTCGCCGTTCAGAGAAAGCTGCGCGGTGGTGAACCCCGCATAAGTGGACATCTGAACAAGAGCGTTGCCGAGGAAGCTTTTCCTTCGGCGGTCATTGATCTCCTCGAGTCAGAAGTTCTTGACAAGACCTAGTCCCAAACCTGGCTCACATAAAGGCTTTCACCGGAGAGGTCCCCGATGGCACTGTCGAGTGGCAAGGATGGTAGTCGAAGAGAAGGGCCAAATCCGATAACTTCTTTCGCCACGACTGTGAGAGGTCGTCGTCCCCGAATCGCGCTTTCATTATGACTTCTCCAGCTTCATAGCAAATTTCCAAGGCTCCGACGCTGCAATAGAAAGAGTCCTTTCATTGTGCTGCTATGCCGATGTCCCAGTTGTCTCCATCAGCCCGGACAATGGTTTGGAACAACTTAGCTGGCGAGCCCCGGAAGATGGCAAGAAGGTATTAGTGACCACCTACGCCATCAGACGCGGGTTTTGACTATTGGGTTCCGCAGTAATTGTGACGGCTGAAGCTAGAAAGCTCGCTTGTCCCCTGGATGCCATGGAACGACCAGGTCTGGGACGCGCCTGGAGTCTCACAGAGACCCAGCACAATGGTCTTGATGTGAATTTGATGGTAATGGGTCCGGGAGCCATCAACCATCAAGGTATTAGATTCGGGAAAGGGAAAGGGTTCTTGGATTTTGAATGGGGTATCTTGACCACCAGTAAGACCGTCACCTCCTCGGTCCCACGCGTCGCTGTCTTGCATGATTGCTAAGTGTTGGCGGAACAGTCGGAATCCAAAGTGAGACCACGCGATCATATTGTCGCACCAAACAGGATCTTTGATGTTGCTGAGGCAAGTGTCGTGCTGAAGAAACTAACTGCAACTGCTGCAAGGGCGACGTCGACCTTCTGCTGTCACAGTGCCTAAGCCTGTTGGGCGGTATCCGCTGGTTCGTTCATGGTGGTCCGACACTATTCGAGATAGTGGCCAGCATACCGCTCGTTGATCGCTGAATAGGGTTTCTTGGTGCTGGCGGTACGGGCGCTATGGGAATTCAGTAGTCAGTTATGTCCTATCCCACACCTAGAAGAAGTTCAGGAAGCCGTTTTCAAAACTCCCAACAGACCAAAATATCTGTTTGAGTGTATCCACGTTTGCAGACTGCTGTATACAGAAATGCTGCAGCGTTGAGGTTGATCTGCTTAAAGCCGTGATACTGACTGGGTATTGCACTGATCGCTATACGCTGTTTAGACTTGCCATAATCAGTGCTTGGTCTGTATAGAGAAAACGAAAGCCTTAGTCAGATATCTTGTTTCGCCACCATAGCTAAAAGCCACTTTCTCTTTGGTTTGAGTGGCGTTGAACAACCAATGGACGTGTATCAATTGCCTCTTTCCGAATCAGGGAATTTGCAAAGGTCGCTGTCCAAGTCACAACTCTAATTGACATAGTTCGTACGCAATTGTTCGGCTGCCTTAGGAGATGTGGGTGCAAATGGGCCATGGTTGGTATTTCACTTGGACTCCCGGTACGCTATCGTGACGCGTCGGTCGATGCGATGGAGGCTGGGTTATGGTCTCGTCCTTGTTACCCTTCCATAGGATGTGAGGGCGTCCCTTGACACGGAGACCAAATGCAACTTGATTAGCAAGAGGATGATTACTACTGTTTCCGTCCAGATCGAAACGGGGCAGTCGTCATCTCAGGTATATGGTGATCAGTGGTGGTATAAAAAGGGGCACGCAGTCTCGTTTCTCACCCATCCCACGCAGTGCAGCAATCCTGTTTGTCCAGGCATATCGTCAATCCAAATCTGCGTTCTTCCAAGCAACTCACCATGGGTATCGACTTTACAGTCTTCAAGGGTTCCGAATCCGGTGAGATCGTGGAGGCCAAGGGCCACCGCGATGTAGGCCCGACACAAGCTCTAGTCGCACTGTCGCATTGCGGTGTTTGTGGTACTGATTCTCATTACCGGCAAGCCGACCAAGGATTGGGTCACGAAGGAGTTGGTGTTATCATAGAGATTGGAAGCATGGTTGAAAAGCTCTCAGACTTGAGGGTCGGCGACCGGGTTGGAATGGGATGGCTCCAAAGAACGTGCGGCTACTGTAAATTTTGTTTGACAGGTGAGTGGCTCACCAATCCACGAGTGACTCTTCGCCGGAGAGCTGCTCAATTGAGTCTGCAGGACCGGTCGTCTCCGACCAGGGTGATGTATGAGGCTAACTTCAACTCCAGGCAGGCAGTTCAAGTGTCAGAACAGCGAACAGTTTGGGACAGCAAACTTGGACCAAGGGTGCTTTGGTACAGGTGTTGCTTGGGACGTGAGCACGCTCTTCAAGATTCCAGACGAAATCTCGTCCGAATCTGCAGGACCATTGATGTGTGGTGGTGCCAGTAAGTTTACCAGCTTGCCCAACTCTAACTGTCCACCATTGGCGGACTCGCTGCTAAGGGGTGTTTTGGACAGCCGTTTGGGGTCCCTTATACGAGAATGGATTCAAAGCAGGTGATCGCATCGGGATTATCGGGATCGGTGGACTCGGACACTTGGCTATTCAGTTTGTCTCGAAGATGGGAATGGAGGCCGTCGTCTTCTCCGGTACCGAAAGCAAGAAGGAAGAAGCATTCCAATTTGGCGCGAGGGAATTCTACGCCACCAAGGGAGTCACAAAGTTCGAAGGGATCGAGCCTGTCGACTGCTTGTTGATCACTACTTCGGTACTACCTGATCTCTCATTGTAAGTTTCAACACTGCCAGTCTCGGGGGTTGGGACGAACACTCACACTGAACAGGTATCTACCAGTATTGGCACCGTATGCGAAGATATTCCCACTCACCATCAGCATGGACAATATTCCAGTCCCTGCTCTGCCGTTTGTCATGTACGGCTATTCGATAATCGGATCTGGGGGAGCTCATCCACAGTCTGTGAAGGCAATGTTGAGATTCGCCGCGGAACATTCAATCAAACCGGTCATCGAAAAGTTCCCATTGACACAAAGCGGCGTCACGGATGCCATGAAGAAGCTAGACGAGGGTAGCGTAAGATACCGTGGGGTCCTTGTTGTTTAAGAATGGACAAGGGTTTCAGGACAGACGTTACATGAGGCATTGATGGAAGGTGATGGGGAGTTGAAATGAAATCTGAAGGATCAATGATATGTTCGAATGACAAAATGACGCGCAGCCAGAGACGCGACGCGTTCAACACGATTGATTGATTGGACAAGAGCTTCAAACATCGCAGTCAACACCACTGGGGAGGCACCGATCTGAATGACATAGCTTCTTGATTCGACATGTGAGATATCTTCCCAGGAACGTCTGCATCTCTGTCCACCATGCAATGACCGCCCCAAAACCATGGCTGAAGGAATTAACATTGGCAAAGTTACATCGACTTGCGACCGCACTCGGCACGCCCTGCTCCGGAACGAAGCTTGCCCGTATAGAGGCCATCAGTTGTGCAGCGTCTGACTCTGTAAGAGATGGAAATAGTAGGGGCAGTGTGTCCCACTTGAGTCTGTTAAGCATAGATATGGGCATCAGAAATCTGGCCTTTGCGCATCTCACGGCCCCAGTGGAAGAGGAGGTCACCCAACCGCTAAGGTATACACAATACCGCAAGCCAACACTACAAGCATGGCGTCGTATAGCAGTGGCGGAATCACTGAACAGCACGAGTGGCCACCCAGACTCAGCGCCGGAGACCTCTTCCACAGTGACCGAAGTAGCTGAAGTGGCCAAAGAGTCATTCGAGCCTATTGACTACGCCAGGCATGCGTACAATCTTGTCAAATACATGCTACGGACTTACAAACCCAATCACATCCTGATCGAGAGACAAAGATTTCGGTCAGGCGGACAATCAGCGGTTCAAGAATGGACCCTCAGGGTTGGTGTCTTTGAAGGCATGCTCTATTCCGTTCTACGAACTCTAGCTGAGGAGCATCGGCTGCAGCTGAGCATGGAGCCAATGCAGCCTCCCCGGGTCAACCGATACTGGCTTGAGGGGTACCAGGGTCTGCTGGGCTCGAAGGAGAAAAAGCTGGTCGGTCGCGACGTAAAAAAGGCAAAGATTGATCTTGTTGGAAATATGCTCAGAGATGAAAACTCAATTTTCCGTGTTGGGAAGAGCGTTCAGCAGGAAGCAGCCGAGTTTGTATCGCGTGTCAACAAACATTCGAAGGACGGGCGAGCTGCTACAACTAATATGTCAAAGCTGGATGATCTGGCCGACTCGCTTTTGCAAGGATTGGCATGGATCCATTGGCGAAATAACAGACGATGTATCGAATTCCTAGGACGAGATGCAGTTGATATGGAGTCTGGATGCTTATTGTGAGGTCCTGGCTGGGTATCCTGGTGAATGGCCAGGTAATTTACCTGGTCAATGACCCTTGATTCTAAGTTCAGCTCTTTGAACACCACTTGGGTCAGAAATGTCGACTCGCATCTGCTTCTTGGGGAACCACAACACCTGTCTCAAGAGAAGCCGCCCTACACGCATTCGCTGAACTAGAAGGCCCCGAGAGTTTCAAGGTCATCTTGTATTCCTACTTGCTTCCTTTCCAGTGGTCAATGTGATCATCCGAGACCGCAGTTGACACATTCTTGCAGCATTTGAGAAGGATGCATCCGTCCGAGATGCGGCTGAATTTGCATCCTCAAATTGTGCATGCTGACACCACCTCCAAATCTACCAAGACGTGTGTCCCTGACCAAGAAAAAATCATGAGGCAATTGGAAGGTACCGCGGGAATAAGCAACGATCGGGGAAGGTGAAGGTGCTGAACGTTACGCTCGATCAAGGGAGGTAAAGAGGCGAGGACTCTTTGCGAGCGGGTGTGTCTGTGTGACTCGGCTGGCAATGGACAGAGCAGGTCGAAGTAGTCGGTCGTGGACTGGTCCAGATCAAGAATGTAACTGTTACACGCGTGAAGGACCCGAATGATCGGTTCAAGTCGAAAGATCGGACGGATATCAACATCGGACGTCGTTTCAAGGAACGGAAAGTCGCACCAGATCTGAAATGAGGAAAACCTGCGAGGTGCCGTCGTCGACATGGTGGAGTGGAACGTGGAGGTGCAGTCGTCACAAGCGTCGAGAATAATGTGTTCGCTATTTTGTGACAAGTAGTAATATTAGTGCTCGTCTCTATTCTCACAATCACCATCCTCTCCTCTTGCTCAAGTATTGCCAGGTGCGTCTCATTCAATTGAATTCTGTCTCAGACACTCAAATCCTTGATAATGAAGCACGCTCTGTGTCTCGTGGCCATCTCTCTCCTTTCCAGGATGGCCTTTACCTCACCTCATCCGCGAGCAACCGCGACACCCTGCATTGAAGCAGACACGAATTCCGGCGCGACTGACACCGTCATCACCGTGGCCAGCACTGTGACCGCAACCGTCACCGCGTCCGTTTCAGCCACCTCGAGCTCAAGCACTACCACCACTGGCCCGTTGACCACCCCAACATCGTGGCTTACAGTCATGGCTTCGCGAATTGCCTCACCAATTCACCTACTGCCCATGAATGCTGCAGGCTACCGCTTCTACCTTGGAGGAGATACCGTGTCATATTGTCCAACTGAGGTTGAAGAAGCCGGAGGATGTCCCACGGGGAATCAGACTGTACTCTCTCTGTGTGCAATGGTGAGGTGATTTTGCCGACATGGGAAAGCTTCACTAACAAAGCAAAGGGTGCTCTTGTTCCTGGTGGTCAGTATTTGTATGTGACGCCTGGTGGTGAAGTCGGCTACACCCAAGCCCATTCGAGTCTCATGCCGGATGGAGCAGTCCAGTGTCCCTTCACATACTCAAAGGCCCCAGGAGCCACGATTGGACGACTGAATCTGAGGGCATTCGGGACATCGGGGTTGATGGCATGTCCTACATATGGAGAGGCCTGGCAAGTTTTCGCCAACCTGGTAAGTCGCCCCTGTCCATGGATTGATTATGAGCTGCCCGCATCGTTGCTGTTCCGGTATATCAGCATTGACACAAGCTTACCAAATGATGCAGAAGAACATCACGGCGCCTCGAGGCAATGTATCCCAGTGCCTTGGTTTCGATCCTTTGGCTTTCGATACCCTTAATGTTACCGCGTGGCAATACACATAAGACGATGGCGGAGAGAAGACTCAACAGCACCCTGGGTTCATGGCTAGAAGAGCTGGGAACAGACAAACACTAGCGATGTTTTCACGATTCGGGACACATCGGGAGATTTACTCATCGCAACGGATGATTCCGCGCCGCTGGTGGGAAAATCGTAGGGTACAGGGGGATCAGACGAACCTCGGCACTTCTGAAAGGACCAGATCTGTGTGGGACTAAGCGGCGTGCCGTGGTTCGCTGGAGCGCATGTGCGTTTTTTTGCTCGCCTAGGGCCGGGTGTTGTGGGAGACAGATTGTGACTGAGTAATGGGCATGTTGTCGTCGTCAATAGCATGAGAGTAGAATTTCGAAAGAGGATCTTCAGGCCATGCGCAACGGACAGATAGACGGCCGGAGCAAAGGGAAAAAACAGAGCACATACCAAGGGTGACGCTTTTACCCCACACATGGCAAATTGATTTTGTCGTCGACTGATCCTCAAAGCTGATCTTATCCGCATGCCCCGGCTCCACGGGCTCCTCTGGCCTCATTCTTGGGAGTTGTGTGGTCGAGCGGAACCCACTGGAACCCCATTGATTGGGCTGTAGGGCGAGGGACCTGTCAACGGGCACATCTCCTCCGGACAAGTCGTCGACAATGTTGCCTCTAACGATTTTAGGCATTGCGTTGCTCTGACGTATAGTATTATATCAACCACCACAGCTCCCTTCCCCCCTGGCCTCGGGGTTCGTCTCTGAATAACCCAGCTACTCCTCTAGATTTCTACTCTCCTAGTTCAGTTCCTGTTTCCCATCCAAAATGGCCAGCATCGAAAGCATCAACGAAGGGGTTGCCATCAATGGCGTCGTCAAGGACTCGTACCGCAAGATCCTTACTCCCGAGGCAACTGCCTTCCTCGCTCTCCTCCACCGATCCTTCAACGGTACCCGCAAAGCTCTGCTCCAAAGACGAGTGATCCGTCAACAGGAGCTCGACAAGGGCAATTTACCAGATTTCCTCCCTGAAACCAAGCATATTCGCGACAATGACGCCTGGAAAGGTGCCCCTCCAGCTCCGGGCCTCATCGACCGCCGGGTCGAGATTACCGGACCAACGGATCGGAAGATGGTCGTCAATGCTTTAAACAGCAACGTATGGACTTACATGGCTGATTTTGAAGGTAAGAGAGATCCGCCAGATCCCCACTGCAATTCGCAGCAGCTGATTGATTTTCGCTGTAACAGACGCCCAAGCCCCGACCTGGGATAACCAGGTCTCGGGCCAAGTCAACCTCTACGACGCGATCCGCCGACAGATCGATTTCAAACAAGGAGAGAAAGAATACAAATTGAGGACGGATCGTTCCGTGACTCTAATAGCAAGACCCCGGGGTTGGCACCTGGAGGAGAAGCATTTCACTGTCGATGGCGAGCCAATCTCTGGTTCGCTATTCGACTTTGGCCTGTACTTCTTCCACAATGGCTCTGAGCTGGTCAAGCGAGGCACTGGGCCATACTTCTATCTCCCCAAGATGGAGTCTCATCTCGAGGCTAGATTGTGGAATGATGTCTTTAACCTATCCCAAGACTATATCGGCATGCCACGAGGCACTATCCGCGGAACCGTCCTTATCGAGACTATCACTGCAGCTTTCGAAATGGACGAGATCATCTACGAGCTCCGTGACCACTCGGCCGGTCTCAACTGCGGTCGATGGGATTACATCTTTTCGGTCATCAAGAAATTCCGCCAGAATCCAAACTTTGTCCTTCCAGACCGATCTGCTGTCACCATGACTGTGCCTTTCATGGATGCCTATGTGCGACTGCTCATCAAGACCTGCCATCGTCGTGGCGTGCACGCTATGGGTGGTATGGCGGCGCAGATCCCCATCAAGGACAACCCGGAGGCCAACGACAAGGCTATGGAGAACGTCCGACAGGACAAGCTTCGTGAAGTCCGGGCGGGTCACGATGGAACCTGGGTCGCTCACCCTGCTCTGGCATCCATTGCCTCTGATGTGTTCAACAAGCACATGCCCACGCCTAATCAGCTCTTCAAGCGTCGCGAAGACGTCTACGTCACCAAGAACGACCTTCTTAACATGAATATGCCTGGCACTGTGACCGAGGACGGCATCCGCAAGAACCTCAGCATTGGTCTCGGCTACATGGAAGGCTGGCTTCGTGGCGTTGGCTGTGTGCCCATCAACTACCTCATGGAAGACGCTGCCACGGCTGAAGTCTCGCGTTCACAATTGTGGCAGTGGGTCAAGCACGGTGTCAAGACTGCCGAGGGCAAGACTGTCGACAAGGCTTATGCCCTTAAACTGCTGAGGGAGCAAGCAGAGGAATTAGCGTCTAAGGCGCCCAAGGGTAACAAGTACCAGCTTGCGGCCCGATATTTCGAGAGCCAGGTGACTGGTGAAGATTATGCCGACTTCTTGACGAGGTATGCTTTCCCATTTTTCTGACCCGTCGTATATCTCATCACTAACACTTTTGCTCGCAGTCTCCTGTACAACGAGATCACTACTGTAGGATCATCACAGCCTGTGGCCAAGTTGTAAGCCGTCTGATGGTTGGGCAGTGAAAAGAAGGTAATTGGATTAGGATGCAGCCTTGAACAGATTGAGCGAGGGATAAAATGAACCTCAACTTCGACCTTGTCCTGCCGCCAAGTGATCAAGAGAAGTGAAAAAGTGTACACAAGCCACATGCAGGACGAACAGGGTCGGTTTTCCTTGAATGCGCAAGAGCGCACATCAAATAGTTACCTTTTGTGTAGTATGCAAATAGTTTACGTGAAAAGGACAAGCAATGAATTTCTTTTGATATGAAAGGAAATGAGATGAGGTGAATGTTGTTTTATATTACGCTGTATTGTGTCTAGCCTTGGTCGACTCTCTCTCGATCAATGTGGCTTCTATGGGACGAATCTTCTGCCTGACATCCTCCACCACCGGAGGCTTTGCATTATTGCTCACCGTTGCTCCTTGGTATCATCGTTCGCTCCAAGATGACCCGAACCATCGTTGAGCCCATATTATTTCTGCGCTTCAGGGTCAGACAACCCCCCGCTAAGTCGCTAGAAGTCGCCCCTCATCATTGTTCAGCCACCGGCGCAATACACCGGCGCCCCGATCTCCTTTTCTCCAACACATCAAGGACCTAATACAAGACCACTCTGACGGCAGGAACCCCGTGGCTGTGTCGTAAAAGAACGTTGTTCTGTCTTGGTAAGAGAAAAGAGAAAAAAGAATATATCTGTGACTCGAGGAGACCATTCTCATCTATACAGGCTCCATTGAGAACAAGTTAAAGAACGGAAGTATCCATCCGCTCTCGAATAGCATTTGGTACGTGGAAGGCCAGGCCAAGAAGGAAGCACAACCAGAAAAGCAAGAGGAGAGGATAGGCGGTTTAGATTCGACTCACGCCATTGAGAATACACTTGTTGCTGGTTCAAGATGAAGATACTCATCACAGGAGCAGGCGGGTTTCTGGGCCAATTCCTCGCGCGCGAACTACTACAAAACCCGGAGCACAAGGTCGTCCTGACAGACATTATCGACGTGCCTGTGCCCAAGGGGGCCAAGTACCCGCAAAACGCGACATGCGTCAAAGCCGACCTGCTGAAAGACCGCAGTGTTGTCACGCCGGATCTGGACGCGGCGTACATCTTCCATGGAATCATGTCCGCGGGCTCGGAAGCAAACTTCGACCTGGGCATGAGTGTCAATCTGGATTGCACGAGATTGCTCCTTGAGACGATCCGACAAGTCCGCCCGGGACTGAGAGTCATCTACTCGTCCAGCGGAGCTGTCTACGGCCGCCCTCTTCCTGAGGTGATCACAGAAGACGTCCTCCCCACTCCCGAAGGTTCCTACGGCGCCGCCAAGTTCATGTGCGAGATCCTCATCAACGACATGACTCGCAAGGGGTATATTGACGCCTTCATCATCCGATTTCCCACCATCACCGTACGACCGGGCAAGCCAGCACCAGCAGCCTCGGCCTTTATCTCGGGCATCATTCGCGAACCCATGGCGGGCAAGGAGTGTGTTTTGCCTGTCAAGGATCGCGCCTTCCCCAGCCACGTGTGCTCGCCCAAGACGTTGATTCACAACCTCGTCTACACGCTCACACTACCCTCGGATGCGCTGCCGAGCCACAAGCGCGTGGTCAACGCCCCGGGACATGTGGTCACGATTCAAGAGATGCTCGACGCCCTGGCCAAGGTTGGCGGAGAGGACAAACTCCAGTACGTCAAGGAGGAACATGACGAACCTATTGCCAAGATCCTGTATTCGTGGGCCGTCAAGTACGACAACTCGTTGGCGTACAAGCTGGGGATGAAGAAGCCGGACAGTTTTGAGCAGTCGGTGCGGGAGTTTGTCGAGTATATGGAGGAGCAAGAACGGTTATCCTAGGGATTAGAGAGTAAAATCTTTGAGGAAAGGGGGATGCAGAGTTCTCTCCAAGGTGTCAATAGTAGTCATGTAGGAGTGGTTGAACAGGCGCGCATCTTCCGCTGTGACAGATTGAAAAGTATCCGTTGATCCCAATAAACCCCTCTGCTCTATCAACACCAGCTCTAACAACTACTCTTTCCTCTCTCAATATCTTCTCTCTCGTTCCACCTCTTTTGCAATCTTGCCCCTCTACACATGTCGACTCTGCTGTGCTGTGCTTACGAAACGCATTGTCGATTGAATACTGAATACCTAGTACAGAGTAGGTATGTAAATACCGAGACTCTTCCTTACGGCCTATCATCGGCGCAATCCTCCGTCCATGTTTCTCAGCACCGGTGTCTCGGGGGTTTGCAAGAAGGTATACAGTCGACCGACAATTGCCACAATATGGATCCGCATTGTGGCTAGAATATTCACATCGGAGTTGAAGCCGACGTTGGCCGATCGAGTACATGCGAGTAAACATCCACAGTAGGTGAGTCGATATGGTATCGGGAGGGACGTCAGCGTCCGTCTTTCTTTGCTCGGCACAAATGCCTAAGGAGGA